ATAAATGGTGGTTCCTTACTCTAACTGATGACCACACTCAGATGTATTGGGTATATGTATTATAGAAAAATCTGCAACTGCTGTCACATTTAAAAATTTCCACTCCTTCGTTCTAGCCCAATTCAAAAGCACTATTTAAGTCATTCAAATTGACAACGGTAGTTTAACTTTATATTGGGAGAACTTTTTTTTTAGTAAAGGCATCTTTCGTCATAGTTCATGTACAGATACCCCTCAACAAAACAGGTCTCAAGCTGTTTCGTTGTTCTTCTCGTTAGACCCTAAAATTTTTTAGTGCAGCCTTTGTTCGAAATACAGCCCCGACAAGTAGTAAACTTGATCGTCGCTCTACTAAATTTATCTTCCTCGACTATTCCGCCACTTAAAAAGATTAACGATGTTTTGATCATGCCACAAATAAAACCTACATTAGTGTTGACGTCTTTTTTTTTAATTCTCATTCTTCTCTAACACTGCCTCAAGTGAAGGGGAGTTTTTTTTTAACACTTTCTTTTTCGACTCCGGTGGACATTTTTCCAACAACAACCACTATTCCCGGCACACCTTTGGCCCTGCTGCATTCGCCACCAGTCGGGCCAACACCACCACCACCACCCCCCTCTCCGTGTTTATATTCATCGTACAAAACCCTCTATTGAGACTCGTCCTGATTCCCTTACCATCAAGTCTGCCGCCTCGTTGCAGGTCTTAGAGTCTGCTACAGCTGATTTCCTCAGTACGATGCTCTCTCCAATTATGACGGTCACTCATGATCAAAGTGAAGATTTGAATCTCCCAATTGAGTTATGCAAGCAGGTACGATCATGCACTCTTCACCCCTTTTATCCTATGGCAGGTACAAAGCATTTCCATATTCCTGATAGATTGTTGTCTCTCGTCCACTATTAAGGCGGCTTTGGTTGACTCATCCTGGAAGACTGTGGTCATGGACGAGATGAATGCCCTTCGGCACAAACATACTTGGGACGTGGTTGACCTCCCAAAAGAAAAAAAAAATTATTAGGTTGCAGTTAAATTTTCAACATCAATTTTAACTCTGATGTCTCCTTTGAATACAACAAGGCATAGTTAGTCACCAAAGAATATTCACAAATGTATTGGGTTGACTATAAAGAGACATATGCTTCGATTGCTACACTAAATACATTTCTGGTTTTATTATCCCTAGTTGTGAATCTAGATTGGCTCTTACTTCAACTAGAAGTTAATAAAGTTTTTCTTAACGACGATCTAGCTGTTGAGGTTTATGTCTCTTCCATCGGGATTTGACTTGACTTCTTCCCATGGACAAGTGTATCGATTGCGAAAGTCCCCCTATGGACTGAAACAATCCCCACGAGTTTGGTTTGATAAGTTTATGCAAGTTGTAGTGGGTCATGGTTTCTCTCAGGCCCAATCATATCATATGTTCCTTTTCGCCATTTGTCTGGTGATCGCATTGTCATCCTCATCATCTATTTCGATGATATTGTGCTCACGGGTAATGATCTATCAGTTTTTGAGTCTCTTAAGGCCATCCTCGACATGTTTTTTGAGATGAAAGACTTGGGTTCCCTCTGATATTTCTTAGGCATGGAAGTAGCTCGATCCTCTTGGGGCATTTGTCTTTCCCAGCCCAAATATGTGATAGATTTATTGGTCAAGACTAATCTACTTCTTTGTAAACCGATAGATAGACCTCAATGAGAAATTATTTGAAGTTTTCAAGGTCGTTCTGATGAACAAAACACGCTAACAACGCCTTATGGGTAAACTCATTTACATTGCCCATACATGCCCAAACATCTGTCACGTCATTGGTGTCATAAGTCAGTTGATGCATGACCACTACGAGCATCATCTCACTACTGCCCATCGAATCCTCCAATACCTAAAAAGCACACCGGGCTCTAGTTTGTTGTTCACAAATCACACCTCTCATTTTATTGTAGTTTATACGGACGTTGATTAGTTCGGGTTCATCCATCATTGACAATCTACCTAGGGTCATTGCTCCATGTTGCTTGTATTAGTTCTGAAGCCGAGTTTCACCTTATCTTTGGGTGTCTGTGAAGCCCTCTAGTTGTGCATCGTGAGTTATGTATGTCCGTCACCGTTCCTCTGCAGATTTTTTTTTGAAAAAAAAAACTATCATTAGTATTGCTCATAATCCAGTCCAACATGATCGTACCAAACACGTGGAGATTGACTGTCATTTTTATCAAGGAGAATCTCGATTCTGGGGAGATTTGTGTTCTGTTTTGTCTCATCCACTGTCAACTGATTGATATTCTCACAAAGAACTTTTCTCGTCCGTTGTTTGATTATTTCAAATCCACATTTAACATGATTGACATTTATGCTTCAACATAGGATTTTATTTATTTCTTTTTATTTCCTATTTATATATTTCCTTTTATTTCTGGTCAGTTAGAGGAATTTCTGGTTCTAGTTTACTTGATTTATTTTTTGTAATCTTGAAGATATGTGTGTTATTTCTTTCCTAAGTTCAAGATTTTGGTAAGTTGTATTTAAACCAACTTTTTGTATCAATAAAGGTATTCGGCTAAACCATATATATATATATATATATATATATATATTTCATGTTCTTTACGTAAATAACAGATTGTTGATATGTATGAAGTTTGGGGAGGCTCGTGCCACCTTCTGCCCTCCCTTGAATTTGACATTGGGTGGCTGCAATGCCCTCGGGCAGGCTACTGACAGGTGACAGTGATAGCGACAAGAAGCTGCAATTTGCAATGTTTTTAAAAAATGTCAATATCTAATGAATTTGAAATACATTAATTTTGAACTGCAAGGTGAATTCCAAGTTCACAAAAATTTTACATTGCATTCTATTTACATCCAAGCAAATGCTTGAGCTTTGAAAAATCTTGTATTTAGTTTGCTTTACGCCACAAACTACAAATACATGGAACCAAATAGCCCTTAAGAAGCTCTAAATAAGGATGGAATATTAAAGTAGTTTCAAAATCTTCATTTAGACACATGCAACAACAGCAACAACAAGCCTATATATATCTTTCACCATTTTAATATCTAATATATTATAAAGATCACTAAAAACAAAATTCTTAGCATCACTAATAGTTTTATTAGACTCCCTACGAGCCACCTTATGTTTTTCACAATTCTATAAGGTTATACATTTGAGCCAATTTTTATAACCAAAGTTTTTTTTTTTTTTTGCTTGCACATTATTATTTTATCACAAACTATATTTATTTATAAAAACTTTTATTTTGATTCTCCAAACATATCTTTTTGTCACTTGTTTAATATTGTTTGTTACTTTATCCAATATAGAATTAACTTCATGAACATCCATATCTTAAAATCATGAAGTTTGCTCCAAAAAAAAAAATTTAATTATTTTTTAAGCGTCCACTTCTAATTTTATGACAATATTTCATTTTATTTTTATCTTCCAAGTCATTATCTTAAAATCGAAAACTAATAATTGATATTGAATAGTTAAATTTTTGCAATGAATAACCTTACAATCTTTATATTCTCGACGATTTTTTTACCATAAGAAAATAATCAATTTGCATAGTATTAGATACATTCATATAGTAAAAGTATATTCATCTTTTCTTAAATAAAATATTAGCAATAATAAAATTATAAGCTAAATTAAAATTCAATATAATTCTATTTTCTTCATTAATCACTTCAAAATCAAAGTCGTCATTAATATTTTTAAAATCTTCTAACACTCTACCAATATGTCTACTTAAATCTCCTCCAACAAATATTTTTTCTTAAAAAGATATCGTTTGTATTAATTTTCATGTTCATTCCAAAATTTTTGTTTTGAACATATATCCAAACCTAATTAGCATAACCACTTATAGCATTAAGAATCATATTATAAATAATAATCTTTAGGGCTATAATTATATCTCAAAATCTATTAATTTAACATTATCTTTCAAACCCTTAATCTAATTACACCTACATCATTTCTAGTAAAACTCTTACCTGAATACCGAAATTTAAAACCTAAGCTATCAAACTCCTTAGTCTTTTCTCCAACTCATTTAGTTTATTGAATGCATTAGATATTTATCTTCCTATGAACCACAATATCTACTAATTCTATTAATTTGGTCACATGAATAAGGAAAAATATAATTTAAGATTAATTTTGAATTTTACGCATCAAGGACTTCCATTTTAGCCTTTTTAATCAACGAATGCAAGCCAGATCCAGCATCAAATAACATGTTAATGATTGACAGTTCAATATGAGCTTGTCAATTAAGTTGAGTAGTGGAATGTCATCCTTCATTCAAAAAATCCTTAAGGTAGTTGTGTCAACATAAGCCATGGTTTACAATAGTAATTGAGGTCAACATACAGGGAGAGAGAACACAAATGATGGGTGTGGCTAGCGTCCAATTTGAACAAACTCAACCTATAACTGTAGTGACAAAGTGCCTAGATGGCTGGTGTAATTGTTTAGCTCTCGACAGACTCAGTGAGGGCTTTTAAAACAGAACCTTAGCAAATGCTCGAAACTGTCACAAAAGCAGAACAATTGATACCAGATTTGACTACACTCCATGTCCTAACGAAGCAATTATCTCAATTAAGCCCTTTTTCTTCAATCAAATCAATGCAGTAACCTTATTATGATGAAGCAAAAGAGAACATGCTGGAATAATCAGAAGAAACTGGTATTTATCTGCCCTAAGCCCTACCAGAAACTTGTTGAGGCAAAATACATACATTTAAAACAACCTAAGTCATCAATAAGTACACATAATGGTCAAATTAAAAGTCATCAGAACACAAGAAGTTGGTGAGAACTGAGAACGACACAAAAGACCGATTGTAAATTCGGATTGACTTCTAATCATTTTGTAACAATTCTATTAAATAATCAGTAATGGAATTCAAACTCTCCATACAAATATGAACAAAAGGCGGACAACGAAAGAAGAGGAACATGGAAAAAATGGTGTTACCTTAGAATTAATTTTGAGAGATGGGTGGCGCGGAGGATCTTGTGAATAATCTGAAGGAGCCGTCAAGCCTGGCATTTTTTTCGCCTCTCTCCGGTAAGTCTCCACCAAACTTCTACCGCACCCCTAAGAATCAGTGAACATGTCTTTGTCGCATTTCCGGTGAAGTTTTGTTGAAATGATGACCATGAAAGGAACGAAGTGCAATATAACACAAATCTCTCTCTATTTTTTTTACAGTATAAACTATAAAATACAAATAGAGAATTAGGAAATAAATGATTTAGGTCACTGTTTTGGATTGGGTAAGTGAAGTAGGTTGGGTTTGGATCGGGTCACGGGGTTAAACATGCGGTCTGCTCTTTACTAAAAATGCCATGCGTCGTTCAAACACCGCCGCCCCAAACAACACATTTCTGCGGCTTCAAGCCGCGTCGCAACCTGAACGCTGCCTCAAACGGAGTTCATGCCTCTCGTCTCGTTTGTGTTGGATTGAAAGACAATAAACTCCAACTGATGGTCTGGAGAAGCATCATTTCTTGAGAATTGAGGGATGTTGGTCCACAAAAAAATAATATTTTTGTCGTTGTAATATGTGGATGTCGGCCTCTATTCCGCCAACGTGATGTTTAAAGAAATTTCCTCGTAATGTTGCCTAAATCATATTCCCGAACATATTTTTTTTTTTTTAATTCCTCTTCTTCAATCTCTTTTACGAAGAAAATTTAGACTTATGATCTGTTTGGGGCAGTTGCAGCTTATTAAATAATCCGCTGATAAACTGATTAAAAATAATTTGTCGATAAGTTAAGTGCGGTTGTTATTACAAATTTTTATTTTTTGAAAAAGTCATACCGCAGCCAGAAAGCTGCCACCACACCTAGACAAGTGCAATGTAAAAATGTTGTTTTAATGTTTTAAAAGCGCATAAGCTGTCAAAACGCAGTTTACCCAAACAGGCCAAATGTGTTTAATGTGTTTTCAAAATGTCACCGTACCACATAAACAGCCCAAACGGATCCTTAATAAATTTGATTGTTAAGTTAATTTATTCCAACATACTCGCCAATTCCTCTAGTCCTCCATCGCACCATGTGTTTTCAAAATGCCACCGTACCAAATAAACAGCCCAAAACGGATCCTTAATAAATTTGATTGTTAAGTCAATTTATTCCGACATACTCGCCAATTCCTCTAGTCCTCCATCGCACCCTATTTAATAATTTCAGATTTATGTGATAAATCCTATATAACCTAAATCAGCCAAACACTGCTTGTAGATGATAGGGGACATGAAATGGTTACTCTTTTAGCTAATGAGATATTTTCCTTTATTAGAATACAATTGTATGCTTTTGTAATTAAATACCTAACATTTAAATTTCAATTTTTACTGCTACAACACTTTAGTAACTTAATTAAATCAAATTATGTAAATACTAAATATATTTTAATGTGCTTAGAATACATAGCATATTAGTTGAAATATTAAATTTAATATAATTTCTTAGATAATTTAAAGTTTTAATTTTTCAAAATTAAATATAAATATTTAATATATATTGATAAGCCTTTTTTCAGTTATTAAGAAAAATGACATAGATTTTATACTCAAGTGTGTGAGAAAGAAAAAATGGAATGGGTTGGGAATGATAATGTCAAGTCATTTGAGTGGAAGGATTGTGATCCATGATTTAATAAACTTATTTTCTCGAGATCAAATATTTAAATTCCATATTATACAACTAATTGCACTTCATTTACGTAAATGTAAACAATTGAATCATGAATTGTCAGTGATCTCACCCCACTTAGGTAAGAACTTGTTGCAGAAGAAAAGTAGAAAAAAAAAAAGAAGATTAGTATGAAGATGGAGATGAAATGGAAAATGTTTCATATCATTCTTAATTCTTTTGAAGTAAGAAGGAGGAGCCTCCCAACTCGTGGATGGTTTCCCCTATCTATAGCTTTAGGTCAGCTCTACCCATGGGTGGTTGCATAAATGGCTATATTAAATAAAAAGAAATATATTGAAAAAACTAATATCATGCTATTGTGTATGTATGATATCTTATTAGCAGGTTATAAGGCAAATCAATAAACTAACAATTCACTCATTATTTACATAAATGTAAACTGATGAATCGTGAATTGACAGTGATCTCACACCATGTAGGTAAATACTTGTTAAAGGAGAAGTGTAGAAAAATAAAGAAGAGTGATACGAGGGTGGAGACGAAACAGAAAATGCTTTATAACACCCTTAATTATTTTGAAGTGTAAAAGTAAGGTGACATCCTTTATTTATGAGTGGGTCAACAGCTTGGGAAATGCCAATCTCGCTAGTTATTTTGAGAATACCATTTTTCCATTAGTAGCAAAGAGAAAACCATTTTTCCATTAGTAGCAAAGAGAAAGCTTAGGGGATCTAACCCATATGGGAGCAACCTTGAAATTCTATTTAATATGTTTGCAACTTTAGGTCTAAAGCTTGAAACTGAAAGGCAAGGCCTCCCCATTAACTCTATTTCTATTTCATCAACATAGATGAAATTGAAAAGAAAAGATCCTTTAGCCAAAGAGAAAAGATCGATGTTACCTTTTAATTTCCAAAGTTTATTGGCATCTTATGAGAGATTACGGTAGAAATGATACCTTCCAATCACTTACTTGAGAAGAGCAAGGTTCCACTACCTTGATCCTTCTTCTATTTATTCATCATAGAAAGAAATCTTTTCTACTACACTTGGTATAAATATAAGTTGCAATATGTAGGGTTGGGAATGTGGGTAGGAAGTAGGTCTTTCCAATTCATCAAGACAGGGCAAAGAACAAAAGGAGAGGAAGAAGGTAAAGAAGGGAAGATAGTGGATCAGTGACAGAGATGGCTATGGTTTTTTAGAGAAAAAAAGTGAAGATAAAAAAAACACGAACTCATATCACATTTTTTTTTTGCTCTCTATGACTCAAAATATATATATTCTTGGTTTCGCAAGAAATTAGATACACCAGAGTACTTTCGGCACATTAACAAAAGTGATATTGATTCTGCCCATGCATATAAATATATCAAAATATTAAAAAAAGAATAAATTCTAATATAATTGATAGGTCAAATAAAAATACATGAAATCATAACCATATAAAACTTCATGGATATGTCACCAAAATAAAATTATAAAATCCTATTCCAAGCATAAAAGTAGCTATCAAGAGCATTGCTTCACAATGTTAATACAAGCATTTATATAAAACAATATTTTAAAAAGTCATAAACTTTAATTAATAAGCCATTAAAATGCTAATTTAATATATTTATTATTATAAATACTAATTAACTTTAATTAATAAGAACTCATGAAAACCTCAAAAACACATTTGCACACCCTCAATTAGATGACACATAAATTACATATTTTATTGAAAAGTATATTTAAAAAAATGAATATATGATAAATAAAAACAATCCTAAATTATTATTATTGGAAGAGTTACATACACATCACACAATTCCAATTTATTTACATATCCAACCCTTAAAGTTTGATTTTTAGCATTATACCACTTACATAAACTTAAAAAAAGTGTATTTCCCACTGATGGGTGGGTGCCAAATAATTAGAAAAAAAATATAATTTTATTTAATAAATAAATGAAAGTCACTATTTTCCACCTTTTTCTGACTTATTACATGTTCCAATAAAAATAAATAAATAAATAAATATTTACTCTTTCGAGTCCATTCCTATGTCCTTTTTTTCTTCTTTTGTCGTGTTGATGGAAAAATTCAGCTAATTAATTGGACGGCATCAGATATGAAAACTTGTTTGATCACTTTTTACATGCAAATCACTTAATTTTTAGCTATTTATGTATGTAACCTCAAAGATTATATAAAATCACATAAAATGAAAATATTTTTAAAAATCAAATGAAAATATAAAAATAAAAACTGATTTGTGCTGGAAATATCGCGGCGGTAGAGTAACGAACTATCGTCTTAGCGTTGAACAAAAGTTCGTCATACACACAGATGAAAGAAAAACAAGCGGTAATGACTCCAGAAGTTTTTTATGTGGAAAAACTATAAGGGAAAAACTACGGAGTCTGACACAGTTGCAAAAATCCGCTATTGATTGATGATTATATAAATCTCTTGTCCCACATACAGGAAATGATGAATATATTTTTTAGATTGCAACGTTGACTGACTACGTCTAGTTGATGATGATCGATAGTGGTTAGTGGTGGTCGCTAATGATTGGCGGAGGTTGAAGACGACGGCGGTGGTCGACAACGGTCGACGGTGGTTGTTGGAGGTCGGCGGTCGTCGACGCGGAGGTCGACGCCAATCAACGGTGATGCTGAGCTGCAACTTCTCTTCAAGACCTCAAACTCTCTCTATAAACTTCAGCCTCCCTTTCATGAGAGAGATGAGACTCTATTTATAGTATTCTGAGTGCAATTAATGAAGGAATATGAATCATTTTGATCAGACGGTCTGGAGAGCTTCCCTCGTTCAAATGAAGTTTGATGGACATTTGAGTGCCTTAACGATGTCAGAATTGAGTGATCTTAGGCTCGTTAGATTCATTTATCAAGACACTCAATTCAACCATAAGCTAACCAGATTCGACATCTGTTTTACCTTTACCTCTGGAAGTCCTTCTAGAGTTGTTTAATAATTTGATCTGGGCTTAATCTAACTCGAATTGCACTAGTTCTTATATCATTAGGTCCGTCTCATCAAACTGATCAATTTGACTATAAGTTTATTGAAATCGAAACTCTATATGACTCTTAATTGAAGTTATTGGGCTCGTTTGATTCGTCTTGTCTGGACGCTCGATTCGATTATGAACTCGTTATATTTGAAATACGTTTGAACTTTCAAATGTCTCTGGAAGTCCTCTTAGAGTTGTTTAATAATTTGATTTGCGCTTGATCTGACTCGAATTTGACTAATTCTTATATCATTGGGTCCGTCTCATCAAACCGATCAGTTTGACTATAAGTTTACTGAAATCGAAACTCTATATGACTCTTAATTGAAGTTTGAATGCTTTTGCTCAAGATATAGTCCCGAGATCATTGTTATGCTTCGAGATTCATGCCGGATGATAAAAATTTGTTGATGACGTATCAAAAACAAAAATCAAAATTGATTGCAATCAAGTTTTATTTTAAAATTAGAATTTATT